TGTCGATCGAAAAGAATCCGTCATTGAGCTTGTGCGGGTCAGGAACAAATTGGATATTGCTCGTGCCGATGGATTTTTTGCTTTTCTCTCGTCCTAGACCCCGTTTGTCGTCATCAATTGACATAGAATGATGACTATCATGCTCATCATCCTCAGTATCCTCCGTTATTGGCCAGTCTTCCTTTCCACTGCGGTCCTCATCCGTAATTTCACCGTTCAGCATATTACCTAGATCGCTACTAACAGAGCCGTTGGAGAGTTCATCCGTTTCGGATGTAAGCCCGAGATCATGCTCCCCATTTTGGGTCTCATGGGCCTTTTTATGAGAGTTGGATTTGGAACGGAGGGTGTTGGCCTCTGATTTTTTTCGTAAATCAAGCTCGTGAGCGGTCTCTTGCGCAGAGACATTAAGCACTCTGTTTGCCTGTTCCCAGATCTGGCACACTGTAAAACCATTGGCATGAATTTCCTGCAGGTGTAGTGTTTGGGAACGAAATGGGTGAGATCTGACAACACCTTTTCGGGTATGCGTGTGCTGAAGGCGTCTTTTCTGAGCTTCAGTGATGTCTGATGCAAGCGGGTCGAGATAGCGCTTTGCCACTTCTATCCATTCTGTATGTAAGAAAGTTGTTGGTTTTAAGAAAACCTCTGGGGCCGAGGAGAGTAACTGGAAAATATCAGTCGTGGTGCAAGGCATCGCCATGACGGCACCGAAGCTGATATTCCTCCCACTGTTGTGTTGGCTTTCGAACAAGTGATTGTTTTCCAAGATATTCTAGATAATCATCATCTTGAAGCCCTAATAATGTCCTCCTCGCAAATGGATAGCTTGCTCCTTTGAAAGTCAGTAGAGAGTGGTAAAAATAATGATATCCTGCCAAGGTATGTTACTTCGCATGCTCTATTTTTTTTTTTTTTTTTTTTTTTTTGGAAAAATCGCTTCCGGAAGAAATGATTGTCCGATCCGGGTCGGCAAGTCCCGGCTGGCTAGCCCGACCAATGTGATGGAATAACTAACTAGTTACGTTAAAGATTTTTAAAAAGTATTGCAGAATTTTGTTCTCTGCAAACGACTCGTCCTACCCATGAAAGGAAACGGGATTGCTGTCATGATAAATACGATTCTTAGGGACAGAACCTCACACTATCAACGAGGAATCCATTTTACCAGCCCTTTGTCGTTACATTTCGGCGTATTGGCCACGATTTGCTCCACTCTTTGTTTTCGTTTTACCTAGGTTGTTCGCTCAGATCTCTAGATATGAAAGTTTTCGCGTCAACGTGCACATTCGATTACTCATGGGAGGAGGTCTCTACTGCCAACTGGCGAAAGTACTGTCCGTGGAATGACAAGTCGACCCATGTTGTGGCTGTTGATATTCTCTCCAGGACACTGCACCCTGATACCGGCATTGTGAGTTTCCTGTCCTCCATCCCGACAGGATTTTCGGAGAGTCATTCTCGTAGTTCTTTTTGACTGACGGTTACATCTACGGATAGCTACGAACGGAACGTCTTATAACCTGTAATCAAACTGCTCCTCAATGGCTGCTCACACTTTTCGGTGGCAATGCTACCTCTCACGTCTACGAAGTGTCATATGTCGATCCTTCTTCTAAGAGAGTGACGATGTGCTCAACGAACCTTACATGGTCGAATGTTCTGAAAGTCCGAGAGACCGTGACCTACCAGCCGTCCCGAAATGCTCCAAGGACGAAGACAGATTTCAAGCAAGATGCCCAAATAACAGCCGTTTGCAGCGGGTGGCAGAAAGTGAAAAACAAAGTTGAAGAAGCAAGCGTTGAACGATTTAGCCAGAACGCTAAGAAGGGTCGTGAGGGCTTCGAGGCTGTGCTGGAGATGAGTCGGAGGGTGTTTGGGGAGCAACGTGAATCTGAGGCAAGGAAGCAGACCCACATAACACCCCCGCTCCTCGTCCTTGAGCTTCTCCTTTGGCGACTTCTTCTTGTGTCATATATGTCCCCTTCCGTTTCTCTTCCTCGAACTGCCGCTCTAGGTTAGGAGTAACCCTTACGCCTTACTTTTTTAGCGTTATTCCCCCGCGCCTCG